GAACTTTTAGAAACAAATCTAAAATGCAGATATAATTTTCAAATGAATTTTTTAACCTCTTAACAATAACATTTCATTAATTAGAGAATACAATGGTTCAATATTTAATCTTTTACTCTAACTGATAATTAACATATTCTAGTTTTTTTTTCTCATTTAAATATTAAAATTTTGCTTCAAATTTTGATTTTAAATTCCATCTTCAAAATTCAGGACACTGATTTTCAGATCCTAGCAAAATAGGTTAAAATTGTGATAAATAAAATATAAATCATATTCTCTTTAAAAGTACGAGTTTGGAAAAATCTTTCTATGGTCAGTATTACCATTCACTATTTTAAATATTTTATTTATATCTTAAGCTATTCTAATCATAATTATATTCTATCCTAATCTTACGTGAACTATCTATAGCTTAACAATTTAAAAAATAATATTAATATAAAATATAAAACATCTTTATAGTATTAGTTTGTTAAGATAAAAAAATTATACGTAGCTAACATATTATAATACATAAATTATTACAAAAAAAGCTAAATTTTTATAAAATTGCACAAAATACCCAGAAAAGTTCAAAATTATAAAAATTATCTAAATGTCCAAAAACTTAAATTAACAAACATAAATTCAAGAAATTAATAGCAGCGAAGAATTTAAAATTTACGATTAACACCTCAATGTCTCAAAAATTATAGAAACACCCTTAGAATTTCAAATTACAAATAAGCACCTAAAATTTTAAAATTTTAAAACTTACAAACAGCATAGATGAATTCAATTGATTACCATAATGTACTTGAAAATTTCTAACATTTCAAAACTTAAAATAACAAACATAAAATTAAGAAATTAACAATATCCTCCAAAGAATTTAATTTTTTTAATTAACACCCTTAATGTCCCAAAAATTATAGAAACACCATCAACAGTTTTAATTATAAAAAAAACCCTAAAATTCTAAAAAAATTAAAATTTGCCAACAACAAAAGATGAATTCAATAGATTACTCTCATGCACCTAAAAGTTTAAAATTACTAAAATTAACCTCAAAGTTACAAAAATTATAGAAAAAACTCTTTCAAAATTTAAAAATCATAAAAAACTCTAAAATTTTAAAATTTAGAACTAGTACGCATAAAATCTGGAAGCTATTGGTAGACCGTTAAATTTTAAATTTTTCAAAAATTAATCTATAATTTTAACAATTATAAAAGCATCCTCAAAATTTTAGAGTTGCAAGAAATATCGTGACATTTAAAAATTACCACAAACACATGAAGTATAGAAGTTACAACTACCAAACTTAAAAGTAATTTTTTTAAAAACACTCCCAAAGTTTTAAAATTATAAATCACAACCTTAAAGTTCAAAACCAAAAAAATGGCTGAAATTTTAAAACTTAGCAAAGAAAAGTGTAATTGTTAAGTATGCTTTCATTTATATATATATATATATAGGTTTACTATCCCTTTTCAGCATCTAAAGATAGTCTAAGTTGATATTGGTAAACAAAAGTAATAAGAATTGATTAAAAATATCCGGTTAAGGAATAAAAATTTTAAAAATATTATAGATTAAAATTTATTGTCACTATATAAATTAAAGCAACTGTATAATTTTACTAATAAGTTAGAGCAGCAAAAAACACATTAGTAACAATAATTGATAGATGCTTAAATCCATTATAATGATAAAAGACTATAATATAATAACTTAGAATTAATTGATTATATTTTAGTATCATTAAGCTCTGATGTTAATAATATTTATAGTGTAAAAGAATACAATGATTACGTATAGAGAAACTATCAGAATATTTAGAGCCTTCAAAAGAATCAAGCTATTTCCATTGCAAATGTAAAAGTAACAGAAATAGATCTAAAATTCAGAAAACGTTCATGAATCATTTGAATTGGCATTAACATAAGGCATATCTATTAAAGAAGCACCAACTGAGTTACATTAAAGAACAATTTAATAACTTTATCACAATCAAAGAAGACTTCTCTATAGAAGATATAAGAAAAAAATAGTAAATATTTATAAATTTCATAATTTGTTCTTCCAATACTAAAGAAATTAAATATTGATATTATAATCTAAGGCAATTTGGTAATAAAAATGCTAGTATTTATTTTAGGTCTTTGTGGAAAATGACAGGGATAGAACAAATATAATATTATTAACGTAGTAGAAACTCTTATTAGATGCCCATTAGAAGAATTCATTGTAGAGAAAAAAAGCGGTAGCTCCTAATCTTATTTAAGCAATAAATTAGGAACATAAAGAATTTCATATATATGAAATTAACATTTATTCTCATTAAAATAGAAACAAAATCAAAGTCTGTATTTTAAGAAGTTTGTGTTGAACATCATAAATACATTTAACTTTTTTATGAAGTTGAACAACAAAATAAAAGATTAGCGAGCCCTAGAAAGATAATAACACAAAAAATACAACTATAACCTGATGTCACAATCGATGTATATAATAAAGACACTACACTAGAATTGCTCGGGAAAAAAATAAAGGTGAGGAATGATTGATCTTAGCTCAATAAAAAGCAGAAGGAATAAAATATAATATTTTTTGAATATTTTATAGAATAGCTTATTTTTTTGAGTGAACTTAGAAATTTTTAGAAGGAAGTTTCATGAGTTTTTTAGTACTTTTATATGCTTATGTGGATACTTTTATATGTTGATACTTTTATCGTATAAAAATATAGTAGAACAAACATTAATCTTTAATTTATAATTTTTTATGAAGTTTATCAATGATTAGGAACAAACTTCATATTCTTTTTTGTATCTTTTTAGCATAGTTTTAACCAATTATTTTGCCTTATTGGTTTTAAATATTCATCTTCCTTGTATAACACAGTTATAATAATTTTCACTTTTGCAACATTGTACTTTCTCTAGTAAAGCTTAGTTTTATGTCAGTCAAAATAATATAAAAATTTAAATTAGCTTTAAATTATATTAATTTTATATTAATTTAAATATCAACATGAAAATTTAAATTGGGTGTAGCCCATTTAAACAAACATCAAATAAAATAAATAATCATAATATTAATGTTTAGAGATAAAAGTAAGCACAAACTATTAAAGTGGAACTGAGAAACAAATTTTAGTTAGAAAATAAACTAAAAATACTTAATCATGGTATCTAACAATATGTATTGCACATGTATAAAATATAGTAAACAGAAAAGTGCAACTATAGGTCCAAGTACAATTGTTTTTAGATTATTTCCACAATAAATAACTGTGTAAAGAAAATTTATTTATTTATTTTCATTAGTAAATAATAAGGATGTGCATGGTTCAGTCCAGACCGAAATAACCGACCGAACTGATCGAATATTAGCAGTTCGGGTGGGTTTTGTTTGTAGGTCGGTTTGGAACATGTTAAAAAAAATTTTAACCCAAACCGCTCGAACCGACCACATTACTAGTAACACTATAATTTTTAACTCGTACCCATTAGAAACCATACCCGACTTGTTCACTAAAATCTCTCACATCTCAATACCTAAACCCTAAATCCAAGCCCGCAGCCGCACTTCCTCTCTCTGTCCGAAGTTCCGCACTCCGTACTTTCTCACACACACTCTCTCTCTGCACTCTGCAGTGCACTGCAGCACGCACCAACGCAGGCGCAGCGTCGTAGGCGTAGCTTCTCTCGTCAACTCCGACTCACCAACGTCGCCTACGACTCACTGTCGTCGTCTCTAACTCACCGCCTCGTCGCCAACTCCAATTTCCTTCAACCGTCGACTCGAATTTCCTTCACTCGCCACCAAGCAGCCACTCATCATCGTCTTCATGGCCGAGGCCGAACCATCTCCTTAGGATCCATCGCACCTGTAATGGAGGTATAAACTGAAAACCCTAATTTAGAATCTATGCTTTCAGTTTTAGGGGGAATGATCTAAACTTTTTAGTTCTTGATGCATGCTGCTAAATTGTAGATTAGTGAGAAATAATTAGTTTAATTAGATTTTATGATTAAAGTTAGATTTTTAGGGGGATTATAAATTAGATAATAAAAAATATACATTCTCACAACTTGGATGAGTGCTAAGTCATTGACACACCAAGATTGAAAGATACACTAGCACTATATTTACTCATTATGTT